GAGGTGCGATCGGAAGGTTTCCAGACTGCGCGTATAAAAACCCGTGCACTTATCTCAGGTATTAAATTCATCCATCACCCTCGAAGTAGTTCCCCTGGGAGTGAACACAACGATCCCAGCGCCGCTGCCAAGCCTGGAAGCATCCCTGGAAATCTTTCTTTGTCAGCCTGTCAAGCACCATCTGCGATTCTGCCTGAATCTCTTCTATCGTCTCAAATCTCCTTCCCTTTAGCTGAATTTTCAATTTACCAAAACGCCCGTAACTAAGAAACAAATGCTAATTCGATGATGCCGGCTGGCACACTGATTCACTATGAATGTAGGCCTCACCCCCTAGCGGCAGAAGCTCGTACTACATCCGGTTCGCCCTCTATTGACACAGTCTGGAAACTTTCCGATCGTAACCCGTAAGCGGACGTGATACTACAAGTCTATTTGAACTATTAAAGCACGGAACGTAGGTTAAAATCCTTGACATCCAACACGCGTTCTGGTGTAGGACGTGTTCCCTTGACAACAGCCATCTTGTTTGAGGCATGGAAAACCTTCTTCACGCCGTGCCTGTACAATACAACGCGGCGACAGAATCGATGTAAAAATATCCTAAAAGAATCCTCTCTACAGCGACCAAATTGGCTCCTCTTAATATAACACTTCTCTATGGATTGTGAAAGACATTCATCCGTGACGTCACAATGGCCGTAGTTCGCCATCTCGTGTTCTTACGTCACGTGTGACAATGCGAAGTGACGTCGAAAACTGCTGTTACGCGTTTATTTACGACGCCCTGGCTCGTATTTGGCTCTTATGGAAATTGGCAGATAAAAAATTGAGTTTTCGTACGTAACGGCGTTCCTGTGAGGTTGTACAAAGGTCGGTAGGCCCACCGCATGAACACGTCTTATGCATTTTGGTTGTTTGTGTAAGGACGCTGTCTTAATTACAAATACTTGATGAATTGGACTTAGCTTATTTTAAAGTTACTGACCTTAGCCACGGTGGTCTAGCGGTTAGAACGCTGGCCTTGTAATCCTGGGGTCTCGGGTTCGATTCCCGGCGGTGCCCGAATTTATAACTTGTGTTGGGCAAGGCCGTGGTCTAGGCAACACGGAGTTTTCCTCCGTGGCATCCCAACAATTACTCCATTCACACACAGAAGAAGGCAATGGCAAACCACTTCTGGATCATCTGCCAAGAACGTATATGAACAGGTCCCAGTCCGAGAAAAGGATGGAAGGATCCTGTCCATATGGACCTGTCGTCACACAGAACACTAAATAATAATAATAATAAAGTTACTGATACTGACCTTGAGGAATTGAGGAAAACCACGAAAAGAGTCAGGATAGCCATTGGCCGAACTGAGATATGAACACAGGACTTTCCGTATACGACGTAGGAGTTTTAATTTTTTAAAAAACGTTTCCCTTGCTGATTGTTAATAAAAATTTCAAAATTGAAAAGATTGATGGACTTAAGAAAACTATGAGAAATTCAATCAGAAATAACCACTTACCCGAGTGAGGTATGAACCCGGGAACTTAAAAATAAGTGCAGGAGTGCGACGCAAAACATCAGAAATCAAGAATTTTGTGTGCATTTTGTTTGCTTTGTGTCTGTATGTGGGCATGTGAGTGGGGGGGGGGAAGGTAGAACGATTAGAAGGACCCAAATAGCTTCATGGTCGGAAAAAAGCACCTGTTTACCCCAAAATAAAATTGCACTCAGATAAATTATCGAAATAAGTTCGGATGTAGAATAATATGAACAAAAATCAACTGCTGGAAAATGGAAAAGCGCAATTGTACGAACGAAGAGACTCGAAACGTAACCATCACAAGCAAATGTGAAGGAAAATTACACGAACATAAACACACACAAACTAGAGACTATTGAGCTATTGACGATTAACAGCGTCATTCATAAACACGTCGTTAGTTAAACAAAAATTTAAGTTGTTTCTTTCAAAAAAGAAGATGGCTGTCTTCTGGGTTGTTGCGCTGTGTAGTCTGGTCGATGTTTACCAACGTTTCAGAGGTCATACTGCCTCCGTCATCAGAGTATGAAGATTTCTGTCTTCTGGGTGGTTGCGCTGTGTAGTCTGGTCGATGTTTACCAACGTTTCAGAGGTCATACTGCCTCCGTCATCAGAGTATGAAGATTTCTGTCTTCTGGGTGGTTGCGCTGTGTAGTCTGGTCGATGTTTACCAACGTTTCAGAGGTCATACTGCCTCCGTCATCAGAGTATGAAGATTTCTGTCTTCTGGGTGGTTGCGCTGTGTAGTCTGGTCGATGTTTACCAACGTTTCAGAGGTCATACTGCCT